AATCTACGAAGTCAAGATTTTAATCTATAAAAAAATATAAAAAACAAATAACCATTCATATGGAGTTTAATGACTAGGGCAAATTATTACCTTAGTTTTTTTTCTTCATCTAGAAAACCTAGATTTTCTAATACCAATAGGTTGTTTTTGATATAAAAGATAAAAATAATAAATAAGGATGTGAAAAAAGGATCCTTTGCTAATAACCAAGTAATAGCAATTGGAAGATGCATTTTGACATCTAAATAAAAGTGCAAACAGTTCATCATATCCAGTGCTGGTAAGGTGGTGGCAAAACTAGTATGCTCATTCTCTGCTAGCAGCCTTGGAAACTGGTGCTACCTTCTTAGGAAGTAATGGGGCAACATATAGCAAGCCATTAAGCATTCTACTCCTGAGTCTTTCTCTGAAGGAAATCATTCAGCAGAAGTAAAAAGAGATGTATACAGAAACAAAAAAATAAAAAACAAATCTTTACTCTCTCCGTATGCTTTCTCCCCACTTCCCAAAAGTGGGAAAGAATATAAATTTTCAAGTTAGTTGAATGGTTTAATATGTTAGAGTAAATCAATTCGAGGGAATATCATATAGCCATCAATTGTGACCACTACCTATAAACGTGGAGAACGTTTAGGATCTGATGTTTAAATAGCATGTATGGTATCATTGTAGCTATAAGAAATAAATGTAGCACACTTGAAAATTAATACACAAAAATGAAAACAACTAAGTTTGGGGAAAGTGATTATGTACTTACTTGGCTAAATAGTTTTTTAATCTTATTATATTATCATTTAGCTTTTCTAAAAAATTATGTGCTTACAGGGTAATGGTTCTTTGGGATTGCCTAATATACCCGCCAAATTCAACATAAGCACCAAGCTCAGCCATCCTACAGCAGCTCCTGTGACCCAGAGGCAAGGGCATCTCAAGAGGTGGAGGTCTTCACAATAGAGTCATGGAGTTCTAAGTCATTGACTAGGTAGGTGATGATTCTCCTTCATACTTTTGTTTGCTGATTTCATTCTACAAGGAAGCAAAACAACTATTGTGGTTTATTCTACTTTTTTCTAGGTGTGGATGCCTTGAATTCATATTTTTAATTTTAATTTTAAGTAGTCTCCACACCCAATGTTGGGCTTGAACTCATGACCCTGAGATCAAGAGTGGCATGCTCTACCTACTAAGCCAGCCAGGTACCCCTGTATTTTAGTATTTTTAAATATAAATTGTTTTCCTTGGTGATCTCCAAATTAATTTCAGATGTCTAACGTACACAAAGGTACAAGTAAACATAAAACTGCTCTTGGGTGGGCTAAAATAGCAATATTATGTAGGCGCATTCAGGAGGCAATTCGATTTCCTTTTCCTCCTTTCCCTCCTAAGTAAGCCCTCGGCATCCTGTACTGTCCATCCAGGGAAACAAAGACCCAAAAAAAGGGCTGAACATAGAAATGCAATAGTAAACTGGCTTAGCTCTTTACATGGAGAAACTGCTCTAGAAATACCTTTTCTTGCAAAGCAACATTGCCAATAGCATCGCCAATAGACTGGCCACCAAGCCAGTCTCCCAGGAGTGAGGGAGGGAAGATTTATCCTTTAAAAAAGGAAAGAGGGGCGCCTGGGTGGCTCAGTGGGTTAAAGCCTCTGCCTTCGGCTCAGGTCATGATCTCAGAGTCCTGGGATCGAGCCCCACGTCGGGCTCTCTGCTCAGTGGGAAGCCTGCTGCCTCTTCTCTCTCTGCCTGCCTCTCTGCCTACTTGTAATCTCTGTCAAATAAATAAATAAAATCTTAAAAAAAAAATAAGAAAGGAAAGAAAGAAAAAGAACCACAAGAAGGGTGGGTACTACAGCAAATGTCTACCTGGGTCTCCCTACACTGTCCTGGGTAAGAGCGACCAAGAAGGCTTTTCCCCTACAAGCGTGCCTTCCTTTGTTTAAGCCTTTATTCCTACTAAAAGAAAAGAAATACCCCCAACTGGGGAGTGGGATGTTTGGAATGTGTGCAAGTGTGTGGATTCATTAAACCTTAACAAGCATTGAGTACTTAAGTGAGGGAAGTTTACTGGGACCTATAAGGGGTGGTAGGTTTTATCAGTTGACAGGGTGGAGAGAGAAATGTTGGTACCAAACCATCATGAAAACAAAACGAAGAGTTGAGCTCTGTTGCTGCTGTGGCCATCACATAACATTATGCTTTTCCTAAAATCACCTACATCGTCTATACTGATTTTTTTTTTTTTTAACGTGACTACAGCTTTTCCAGCATTTGTTGACTCCACGACTTTGTTTTGAGTCTCAATTGCAACCAGTCCACTAACTCTGGCTCTAAATTAGATAAGTAGGAAAAAAAAGATGATCTTTGTATTAGATCTCTGAGTCTACACTGAATCATGCCTACATCTAAAACCAATATCTGCATGAGATGCAAGAGAATCTCCAAACAGTTCAAACTCCCATAAACAGCACTGTTTTTAATCTGCTGCCTACCACATACCAATGAGAAAAATCATGGTATCATGTCATAAACTGCTATGCAAATGATGCTATTTGTAAGTATTAACATAATTTAGTGCTTACAGTCATATTCTCATTTCTAATAATTCTCCCAGAATGGAGTCTTTCTCTGGACTCTTAGCCTGCAGGATAGTCTTTCATCAAGAAGCTGAAATTTTTAATAACCTGCCAGCATATGTTTTGTATGTGCCAGGCTAGGCTTGATGACACAACATCTTCATTATCAAAAGAAACAGGTCTACCAACTGTAATAGGACATTAAAACATGCCTGTGCTCATAAAGTATTGCTTTGATGTCTAAATGTGCACCATTACCATGGTCTTCCGGAACAAAGGATAATTCTAATCCTAAATTCTCAGTAGCTGCACTCAATGGAGATGTCAGTTCACTTCTGCTCTGAATACAATTTCACTTTGAAGGCAAAAGAATGGCAATAGTCTCCTACCCCACCCCACCCCCAAAAATTCTCTTTGGAACTGCTTCACTTTTTATTTTTATTTTTGGCTTCCAACTATATCCTGGCTAAGCACCATCCCACACAGTATTAAACAGATCTCTGAGTAATTATTTTTTCCTTGTTAAGTTAAAAAATGACATAGATAATTAATTATTCAAGAGTTTCACATTTAATACTATTAACGCTAATGCCCAATGTATTTGGTGACAATTTAAAATGGTGTAGTTTAAAGTAATTGAAATTAAATAACGTGTAGTCAGGCTTTTAAGTGCAATTCAGCCATATGTCATTATTCCATATATTTTTAAACTTAAAGTCAAACATTTTAAATTTATCATAGTTTAGTATCAGGGAATTCTTTAAAAATTATTAGCTAGAAATAGTGAGAAAAATACCTTGCACACTAACATTTTGATTTTTTTTAAATAAAAGTCTTATTTTCATAGTTTAATCTCAGCAGTTTTGTTTTAAAAAGAAAATTGAAATAAATACACAATATGAAATAAAATCCAGTTTAACAAGAACACATGAGAAATCTCTATGGGCTTCAAAATTAAATACATTTTCTTTGTTTTATTTTTTTTCTAGAAGAGTAATTCACTTTGGTATCCCTTAAATAATATGTAAAAAGCTGGCCATGACAGGTTGTGCGTTTAGTCCATTCACTGATGGAGGAGGAAGAAAAGCCTGGAATAGATCATGGGGAGAACAGTAACATTTGTCAAAGGGAACTCTCTCTTCTGACTGTTCTCTAGATTTATTCATCATTTCACTTCCACAAGAATAATGTGGTTCTCTCTTATGCACCCCTCCCTTTCCATCACTTGTGTCTTTATTCACATACTGTTGTAGGGGGATGCTCAAAGCAGATAAAACTCACTGCCCAGCCCACTGCTATGTACATTGGCGGGGAAGGAATCAGTTAAGGGAATTTGCGCCCAGATTTTCCTCATCAGTTACGCTTTCATTAGTGTTAGCCAAAACAGAGATCTGACATTCAGAAAAGCCAGGGAGGTCTAGGCCTCTGGATGCAAAGTGAAGCAGCTTTAAAAATGGTGGGTTTAAGTGATATACGAAGCCATTAAAATTACCTTAATTATTAAGTAAGTTTGGAACAGGCTAAGACGTTGTACAATTCATCCTTCCCCCAGTATACATGGAAAAACCTATACACATCCACTCATATGCTAAGGCTTCTTCCCTATTATTTAGCTTTTGCTGGGAGATTTTCTGGCTGAGATGTATTATTTTCTCAACATCTCATAGGGACCAGCAGTTACATAAATTTCCTTGAACTGTCTTCAGAAACACATGACTGCTGACAGAATGCTTTTATACATTAGCTTCCAGGTGACAACCATTCACTACTAGAACTTGTCTCTCATAATAAAACACAGCTAGCTTAATAACAACACTCGTTAGAAGCAGATGATCGAGACCCACTTAGACCAAAAGATGAGATTTGTAATGCTATATGAATATGGTAAAAAAAAAAATTACTTCCTAATTACCATAGTCAACTTGAAGACTTTTAGGGCCCAAAAAGGGACATTTAAAATAACCTAATCATACGGGCTTCCAGTTATGAAGATAACTGGAATGAATTAGTCATAGGGATGAAAGTGACAGCATAGGGAATGTAGTCAATGGTATTGTTGTAGTGCTGTATGTGACAGATGGTGGCGACGCTTGTCCGTGAGTACTGCAAAATATGGAGAGTACCATTTGTACACCTGAAACTAATGTAACATTGGGTGGCAATGCTAACTCAAATTTTAAAAAATTTTAAAAATATACTAGAAATAATATTCAAGTAACTTGATCAAGCCCATTCACTTTATATATGAAGACTAAGGCCCAAGAAAGTCAAAATTGACACGCCTAAATTGACACGCCTAAGATCTCACTGCTGACAGGTGATGCAGCTGAGTCTAGAAGAAAGTGCTCTCACCTCCCAGCTGAGCCTTTTGCACCATCTCCTAACTGCTCGCAAACACCATGGGCTTATGTCAACATTGAACTCACCTGTGCCCATTTCTTCCTCCAGTTCTCATGGCCATATCTGCTCTTCTCCTGTAGGAACCACTTGTAGCACTGTAGATGGGAAGCAACGTCACAAAAGGCAGTCCCATTTCCTCCAAACTCATAGTCCATTTTAAAGAGCCAGCGTTGAATTTCCAGGTGATCTATGACCAGCTGACCTAGCTGTTCTAGCATCTGTGGGGCCCAAGACACAGCAATATTTAATATGGCTCATTTTCTGATTCGTTCTTATTGTATTAACTTAGTTGTACTCAGGTGTATTCAAATGGTCTCTTCGTTTGGTTATCTTCTAATTATTAAGACAGATTAGAAGTTTAAATGATATATATATGATGTAAAGAAACCACTAACCACTAGGACCAAAGGAGAGAGAGGGAGAGAGGGTGAGCATGAGCCGGCTGAGGGGCAGAGGGAGAAGCAAGCTTCTTGCTGAGCAGGGAGCCCCACATGGGACTCAATCCCAGGACCCTGAGATCCTGACCTGACCCAAAGGCAGACACTTAACTGACTGAGCCACCCAGGTACCCCTAGAGAATTATGTGTTTACTTACTGATTTTTCAAATGCTTTTTTTTTAATAGTTTCAAGTCCATAATGAGTTATAGTCTTGAGAACTTTAACTGTTTGGAGCTTTGCTGAGTTTCTAAATGTTATAACCTATAAAGGCTTAATTGTTTCCTCATTAGCGTACATGAAATGCATTTGTTTGGTCAGTTGGCCAAGTATGTCATAAGTATTATGTGAACAAGACAGATAAAGGAGATAAAACATTCATGAAAAACAACTATGTTTTAATTGAGACAGTATTTCCTCAAGAACTGGGCTCAATCCCATGGGAATGGGTGGGATTAGAAGTTGAAGCTTTACTATGACAACTATGGCCAACATTTAACTTTACTGAACTCTCCATAGGAGCCCGGCGTTTGGCTAGGCTCTTTTCATGAATTTTATCTTGGAATGCTCAAAAATGAAGCAGGCATCACTATTAGTTCCATTTTATATATGAATAATTGAGTTTCAGCTGATTTGTTATTTTTTAAAACATTTTATTTATTTATTTGAGTGAGAGAGAAAGAGAGGAGGGGCAGAAGAGGAGGGAGAAGGAGAAGTAGACTCCTTGCTCAGCAGGGAGCCAGAGGTGGGGCTCAATCCCAGGATCCCGGGATCCTAACCTGAGCTTAACCAACTGAACCACCCAGGTGCCGGGAGACTCAGCTAATTTAAATGACTTGCCCACAATCCCCAATCACCTGGTGTTAAGTGGAAAAGCAGAGACTCCACCCAGGGTGCTCTGATTCCAGCCCCTGTGTTCCTCTGCTCTCCACCATGCTGGACGCAGAGAGGTGCTGGAAGAGGGTGAGGTGAAGGAAGAAGTCAGAAGAGGAGCAAGAGAAGCAATTTTCCTTGTAGTCAATTAAGCCACTTCGGATATATTTGAATCAGGCAAAAGTCTATAGCCCAGATTACTTGATTATAAATAATACTCTACTAGTAGAGCCTTGGAGAAAAACAACCCATTAGATCATAGAATGATTTTTTGTCTGGTCTCCCTGTCAGATGTTCTGGTCTGTATTACCCATAAAGAAACAAAACAGTACTAAGCATTCTCTCTTCTGAGCTCTCTTTATGGTCCTCTGTACTTGGGGAGGTCTCTGTGACGCTCTTATTCTCTTGTCTTTGGATGATTTGCTCACCAAACAGATTTTTAAATTTTGGGGTTTTTTTAACCAAGGATTGTGAAAGGACTCGAGTCTGTAGTTCTGCTGAAGTCTAGAGCTAGAAGATTAAAATTATTTTGAGTAAAGACACAATCTGTTCTCCTGCGTTGTGTCTTTTCAGCAAATCTTCTGGGGGTGTTACACTACACAGCAGTATGGAAGTGATATCAAAATGGGTGTACTTGGGATCCCTGGAAGCCCCATGCAACCATGGGGTATTCAATTAGGGTGGAAATGGGATTGTCTTAGCTCCCTAATTATCAAGTAGTGTCTGCAGATAATTTGGTGTTTAAATGACAAGTACTCTTGTCTGCATACCATATGGCTATGAGCATAGCCTAGGAAGGTTTTGTAATGTGCCTTTCAAAGTTACATCCCTTCTTTCTCTAATGTGTTGAGAAGACAGATTATTTATTTATTTATTTTTAAAGATTTTATTTATTTATTTGACAGAGAGAGACACAGCGAGAGAGGGAACACAAGCAGGGCGAGTGGGAGAGGGAGAAGCAGGCTTCCTGTTGAGCAGGGAACCCAATGCCGGGCTCGATCCCAGGACCCTGACATCATGACCTGAGCCGAAGGCAGACGCTTAACAACTGAGCCACCGAGGCACCCCCAGATTCAATATTTAATCATACTTTGCTGTATCAGGATCACACTTTGCAGAAGTAGAAATGGTCTCTGGCTCTTAATATCTGATGAAATTCTCTTGCTAACGTTAAGGAAAGGTGTTCCAGGCTTTTGAGTGTCCTGGCCTTCATAGCCTTCGTAGCCATAGCCTTTTTCATTGTATGTTCAGATATATTGTATATTTGGAGGTTTCAACTACTAACAGAATTATTATCTGTTTCTTCCAAATCCTATTATTTGTTGCTGCTGAGAATCCTATAAATGGGTGTCTGTTGATGGATCCCCTACAGTAATGAAGAGGATCAATAGTATTGTAAAGACTGCACCACTGGAAAGAATTATGTGCTATCTTTAAGTGAAAATTGAACAGTGCTTTTAAAATAGCATCGCCAGTTTTGATTATTTAACCGAAGCTGTCGATATTTTATATGGAGCACATGTCAGAAAGGGAGCTTGCATGGTTACTTTATGGATCAAAAGAGGAAATGCTCACTGGGCTCATGCTAGATTTAAAAAACAAATAAATTACTTAATCATAAACCAAATGACTTTACGCTATTTCCAAACATTTTTCAATTTTCTATTTGAGTCTATCTGTTCAAAAGAGGTAATATATTTTTTAATTGCCATTTAATTTACGCTAGTATAGAGCAGAAGTAGAAAAACGTTGGCTGCTAAAATCCAGCTGATAGTCGGGAATATTTATTCACCTAAATTAAAATAATCACAGCTTTCTTTCACCGGCTTTAAGTTTATGATGCACATCGGTAAAAAGTCAGTGTTATTGATTCATCACCATCTGCAAATTCAAAACACTAACACACTCAGATTCGGTAGGGCAGTCACTATCTGGAAAAATCTCAATGGAGTACTTTAATTCTTGATGACCTCAGATGTATGTTTTCAAACAAGTGGAGGGGAAGTCAGTGAGGACTTGGTTTATCGTGATACGATTTGCACATGCCATAGGTTAAATGACATCCCTCAAATCCGAGTTGTCTACAAGGAGGTTTTCCTGCTTCTGAGTACCAGCATGAGAGGGAGGTTTTATTGCTTTCCACAATGAACTGCATACAGTTCTAAAACACTTCCTAGCAAAGATGGCCCAAATTCTCATCAAGTCAAGGTGAAAGCAAGACTTCCTATAAATCTTGCACACTCATTTTAAAGTTTTGAAGATGGTTTCGTGTAATGGACACATGTAAAATTATAGTTTGAAAGTGCATTTCACTTGTCTCCAATCTCTCAGCTGAGTATTCCACTGGGAAGCAGAGTCGAGCAATCCCCTTTTTACCTTCAAATTCCAGTGGAGAATAATGGCGGTCAACAGTGGGGCACACCAGCTCACGGGGAGCCTCTGTCTCACTCATTAAAATTGCCTGTGCTGGCTTTTTCCACACTCTGTCATCTTCAAGAGTAACTTCCTTCATGAGCCCACGTATTGCCCAAGTACACTCTAGCTAGACAATTTTAGGGCAATTTAATAAGTTAACAATACCTTCAGACTAGTCTCTGAGAAGTACAATTTGTTGAAAGGCTTGATTTGGGGGGCTCAGCCGCTATGACGTTCGGAGTGTCATGATCAAGCGACTGAGGGAAGGAGGAGGATCCTTAAGGATCATCCCTCACACACCGCTTCATTGCACACCGTTCTTTAGGTTCCTGAGAACTGGGTGCCTGCGGTAACGGTGACTGGCTGGGAGTGACGGTCAAGAGATGTACTGAAACAGAGGTTAGGGAATGTTCACACCCATTTGTCTTTCTATTTCTTTCTTGTAAAAAAAAGGTAGAGGTTAAATGGGAGAACACCTGCCGGAGCTGACTCCAAGATCATTTCTAGTGACTAATATTATAGTTCTCTAAATAGTTGGGATCCTACCTGTCTGCTGAAGGAATTTGGACCTGGTGCAAAACAAAGACACAGATGCAGGTTGTTTTATTCCAGATCTGTTTCCTGTCCTCTTCCTGGGATTTTTCTCCTACTCCCTTTATGGCCCTTTCCTGAGGAGCCAAAGGATTGTTTTACAGGGCCAAGGACGTGTGCAGCCCTCGGCTTATAGGACCTCTGCAACCTGATTCGGCAGAAAGGCTCGCCTTTCCAAACCTGATCCTTTTCACCCAAACTGACTCTTACATTTCTTAAGTCCTCCTAAATGACTGGCTAGCTAATATGATGATCAATTAATCCATGTTAAGGTGATAAATACTGAGAGCAAATGAGTACATCAACGGGGCCTTCATTGGCTTAACCCAAATGAATAACTATCTTGAGTAATTCCCACAATTTCTGCAAGGCCAAGAGGAAGATACTTTGAAACACGAAGACCTAACGCAGACCCCATCAAATAAGTTAAGCATTCCATGTATTCCTCATTGGGTTAGGGCTGGCTCCAGAAGGCCTGAAGTTCCCACAAGGTCACTTGAGAAGAGCCTCCCTCGTCCACCCCGCATACCTGTTGGTGATGACAGATGCCATATACTCCAGGAGGGACGGGCACATTGGCGCTCTCAAAGACCCATTTGCTTCCAGACTTGCTACTGTAAAGATGAGCTATTTCAGGCTCCGGACCCAGGATGGGTATGTTTAACATATCCGCCACAGCCAAGTCATCTCTGTGCAGGAGCCCACTGACAATGTAGGCCTCTTTTCCTTGGATGAGATTTTTTATTCTTTTGATCGCCTTGGGACTGTACATCAGGTAAGTGGCCAGGCACATATGATGCTTCTGCGGGGAGACCGTATCATTCTTGTTAAAAGGTGTTCTTTTTCTAGTCCATACGCCCAATTTATAATGTTGCACACAATAAATGCATTATTAATAGCAGGCTGGGTTGTGACCTATCCTGTTGTTTAGCAGTTTAAATTGATAAAAGCTGTTGGGGTGAGGTTCCATAATCGCTCACATCTTTAGTGCATTGGAAATGGGCTCACTGGGAATAGAACTAATTACTACACATCTGTATTTATTTGATCCACGTGGAATTATCCTTCTGTCAGAAGGAAAAGAGGCTGGCGGCCTTTGGATAATAGTGATTCATCTCTGCAACACTTCTGGAATGGTTTAATACTAAAGCGTCTGGAAAATCAATACAAAAAATGAAGAAAAAAGCCTTACAGTATGCTTCACTCTACGGGATTCCTAATCTGGCTACTCTTTAAGTGACTGGGTAGGCAAGGGGTGCACGATACTCTTTTTCCAAAGTTCTACCACCAAGTCCACTTTAGAAAATATGTACTTTTATAATGATTATTTTGGTTTTTAGGCAACACTCTGGACAGGATTCATGGATAGAAAATATTTGAAAATTTCAGTGAGTCTTAAATTTATTTTTCAAAGGAAAACTCTCTATTTTTGACAGTTTAGACCTTGCTCAATAATACATGTGACCACTCATTCAATTGAAATAAATAATTCTGGCATGTCTAGGAGAGGCAGAGGACAGAGCCGCCTGGTCAGCACACACCGAAACCAGTAAAGCATGTCTCTGCATTTTAGGAGTGGGGACACAAGTGAGTACAGTCAATGGATAACTAATACAAGGCAGAGAAGGGCCATAAAAAATTACAGAGGGCTCAGAGGCATGGAGGAGGGAGGCAGAGGCCATGTGCTGGTGGAGACAGCAGAGAAGGCAAATTACTAATTCTCCTTGGACCTCGGTTTCCTCATCTGTAAAATGAGTATAACAATAATACCCAACTCATAGGGATGTTGCAAGGATTCAATGAGATAATTCATGAAAAGCACTTACATAATAAGCACTTAATGAATGTTAGTTCATATTATTATTACGAAATTATAGGTTGGGGTCAAGATGAATTTTGAAGGATAGGGAGGATTTAGTCAGGTGAGGATGGGCATACGAAAGACATTAGCCAAGAATGGAATATGAGAACCCAAGACTGCTCATTTCCTCTAGAGAGGAGGGCATCATGGCACATGAGAAAGTGCTGGGGACTTGGGAGTTCTGGCTTAGAATCCAGCTCTGTCACTTTTAAGCTACCTGAACTTGGGCAAGTGATTTACACTTCCTCTGACTCCGTTTCTCCAGCTGTTTATTTATTTATTTATTTTTTAATTTTTTAAAAAGATTTTATTTATTTATTTGACAGACAGAGATTACAAGTAGGCAGAGAGGCAGGCAGAGAGAGAGAGGAGGAAGCAGGCTCCCTGCTGAGCAGAGAGCCCGATGTGGGGCTCGATCCCAGGACCCTGGGATCATGACCTGAGCCGAAGGCAGAGGCTTTAACCCACTGAGCCACCCAGGCGCCCCTCCAGCTGTTTTTTAAATATATATATATATTTAAAAAGATATATTTATTTTATTTTAGAGAGAGATTGAGAGCAAGTTGGGGGAGGAGCAAAGGGAGAGAATCCCCAGGCAGACTCCCTGCTGAGTGGGGAGCCAGATTCAGGTCTCGATCTCAAGACCCATGAGATCATGACCTGAGCAGAAACCAAGAGTCGGATGCTCAACTGACTGAGCCACCCAGAAAGCCCCAGTTTCTCCATCTGTTAAATGGAAATAAAAATACTTACCTGTTGGCTTGCTCTAAGGATAAAATAAGATCATTAATATGCTACACCTGTTATAATGCATGGCATTGAGTTGATATTCAATAAATGGTAGTAATTATTGTTACGGAGAAAAACTCTCTTTTTAAAAATAAAGTCATTAAAAATACCGTGCAAGGGGTGCCTGGGTGGCTCAGTGGGTTAAGCTTCTGCCTTTGGCCTGGGTCATGATCTCAGGGTCCTGGGATCGAGCCCTGCATCAGGCTTTCTGCTCAGCAGGGAGCCTGCTTCCCCCTCTCTCTCTGCCTGCCTCTCTGCCTACTTGTGATCTCTGTTAAATAAATAAATAAAATCTTTAAAAAAAAATACTGTGCAAATTATATAATGCAAGATGCCAGTGTCTTAAGGGAGTTAAGGGATTTTGTAGACTTGCACCTACTTCCCCAGTTCTGATCAAAATTATCTACTGAACATGGCATAAAAATGCAGAGAAATGCTAAGCAACTGTTTCCGGGAATGTTAGCAGCACCAGTTTGCAAATTGTTAGAAGGTGTAATGATAAGTATGGGAGAAAGAGAACGAGGAAAGCCCCTGGGTTTCAGTCCCGCCTGAATTTGTAACTTGCAAGGTGATTTAGAAAACTCGACCTTTCTGAGCCTCAACCCCCATATTCAAATAATGCATCGACTAGAAGTCTCTAGGGTCCTTCCATCTCTGAAATAACTTTCCCTTTAAACCAGAGCTCTTCTGGGCTTACTGTTTAATGGGTACAGAAATTCTGCTTGAAATGTTGAAAAAGTTTTGCAAATGGATAATGTGATGGTTGCACAACGGTGGGAATGTACAAGCCACTGAACTGCGCACCAAACATGATTAAAATGGTAGATTTTATGTTATGTGTATTTTGCCCCCAATTAGATAAAAACACAAAAAAACAGAGCCCCTCTGAGAAGAGGATGTATATAGTTTACACTACGGGGCCCCTCTTCCAGGGCAAGTATTCTATTCTAAGCTCTTAGATATAAGCCACATGCCTTTTCTACCATAATTTAAATCCATTTGCAACACCTACTTCGGAGAATGTCTAGGAAACCCAGTGCTCAACTAGACAATGGCTGGTACCACCTCTTGAGTCTGTGTTTCCCATCTGGTTAATCACCGTCTTTTTTCTGTGTTTATCTCACCCCTTTCCATGCCCCACAGATTATTCCAATGAGGAAAGGTAAACAAATTAAATATTGGGGAGAACTGGGGACTTGAGTCATAATATATGTCACACAGTGGGCTTTACAGGGTACCTAGAAGAGTGTTTCGAGGTGGCCGTGCTCTCAGTGTCAAGGTTACAAGACCAAAACCTCTGATACTATTCTCTTGTTTGACTCACAGAACATTGTACCAGTGAACAACTCCTCTTTTGGAAGTGAGGAAATGGAGGCTCGAGTGATTTGCCCAAAGTCACACAGCTAGCAAACAGCAGAGGCAGGATTGAAACCGGGTACTGGCACAGTTTCTTGCTACGGTTAACGCAACTTCTCCCATTCTCCAGACCGAGTAGTGAAGGTCTGGTGAGTTTATGAGGTGTGATGAGGGGGTGGCAGATGCCGCGATAGAGCCTAATGTTAGGGTTCTGAGCCACTTCCAGCCAGGCTGGGTTTCTGCCTCCTCTGCTGGCGAGCACGCAGCCGGACTCTGGTTTATAGTCATCTGTGGGCCTGCCTTGTTCTTCAGGCAAGATGGCCCCATACTATTGTGTTCGCTATGTGTTTAGTAAAAATTTGAATATGAGTGAGTGATGGCACAGGACACGTTACTGACCGCGGGTCTTGTATGACCATTGAGAGAAAATCAGGATTATCAGATCCAGGCCGCAGATTAGCGCAGATGACAAAAGTCTAAAATGTTCCTCATTTCATAACATTGTTACATACATTTGATTTATCACCGCTAATTTTTTTTTTTTTGACCTGAGACAAAAAGTACTTGTTTGGGATGTCTTCGTAAACATTAGAATGCTCAAAACCGGACGTGATGACTTTATAAGAGCACTTTTTACCATTACAGAGTCAAGCATCGTATAGTAAATTGGAGAGATGTACAAACAGATTTTTGGCACGCTTTAAAAAAAAAAAATCTCCTCAAAGCCATCCATTTGAATGAAAATCAGCATGGATACAGTCTCTGTAACCCATTAAAAGGAAATAAAGCAATAACTGAACATGAGCAGGAACTGATGTGCAAGTGAGAGTTTAATTTTTGTATTTTAAAAAGTTGATTGCCTATGGATGATTAATTACTCAAATAATTTAAATTTAAACTATGAGAAGTAGTAAGCACTTAAAATATTCCCTGCTCGTTTCTACTCACCAAGAGGCAGACCTAACTATAAATGTGACTATGAATGTGACTCAGGGCATCTGTTAGTATCAATTTGAGCTTAGAAGCTCAAGAGTGAACCTCAGGGCACCTGTCTCAGCTAACAGGAGTGTAGAGCTGGAAGAGTCTTTGAAATGCCCTGACCCATCATCTGATTGTATAGATGAAGATCAGAGGACCAGAAAGGTAAAGGGAGCTGCCCAAGTCACAAGGTCATCCAGGAGCAAAGCAATCGTTCCAATTCATGATAGTGTTCTGGGGCTGGACAGATTTTGGTTCATACTCTGACTCTACCAGGAACTTTGGACTAGAAAATGAGACTTGGTTTCCTCAGCCATAGAAGGAGATCGATCATTTCTGTATTGTTGGCATTGTGCGGAGGACCAAATGAAAAAAATGTGTGCTAAGCATTTGATAGATGTTGCTTGTGCACTCACTTTCCTGCTCCCAAATTAGTGCCCCTTTTCCCATTCCATGCCTCTTCGATGTATATGGACTTTTCAGATGTGCAGAAACTCCTTATCAGCAGCTACCAGGCATTAGCTCCAGTTTCTGGCTGGATAAAATCGGGAAACTAACTACATGGTAATGATAGCTTTTCCTTCCTTGCTTTCTAGTGTCCACTGTGACCATGCCACTGAGGCCAGGGGATAGCTAGGAAGCACCAAGCAATCTTTACACTGATGGAGGACGTTGGGAGGTTCCTCAGAGCATCAGTAAGTGGTGATTATTTGTTCCCTGTCTTTTCTCTTGTTCAGCCTGCCCCTGCACCCTCCTCCATAGCCAACCAGTGCCCATGAAACAGAGCTAGGCAGAGAGCTGGGGTAGTGGGGGGAACATTGAAGTGTCTAGTTATGAAGAAATAAAATGTTCATCTTGATAGAAGAGAGTAAATCCTGAAGACAATTCACTGAGTATACTAGCAAAGCAGAAACATTATTCCAAACCTCCTCAGCCCTGGCAGGCCTTTTTTGGGAGGGGGTTTGTCACAACATGGGGCATCGAAGGGTTAATGGGTAACAACGACACAGAGATAGTAAAGCATGCTGTTGGTTTCTTTGCCGATAAATAGAGCATTGATTTTGGTGGATCCCACTTGTGAATGGAAAGAGCTATCTTTAGCAGTAAATTCAGACCCTTAATTATACAAAAAAAAAATGTCTCCTCAAAACCGTACTGTCCATTAGGTATTGAAATATTGGTTGTTGAAAATGGAAAGTTTAAATTCTTTTTTTTTTTAAGATTTTATTTATTTATTTGACAGAGATCACAAGTAGGCAGAGAGGCAGACAGAGAGAGAGGAAGGGAAGCAGGCTCCCTGCTGAGCAGAGAGCCTGATGTGGGGCTCAACACCAGGACCCTGGGATCATGACCTGAGCCGAAGGCAGAGGCTTTAACCCACTGAGCCACCCAGGCGCCCAGGAAAGTTTAAATTCTTGTTAAAACATAGAGAAATTCATTTCACACTATCTCTTGCACTGCCTTGTTCTGGAACACTGCCCTTGTGACTCCATGAATTTCCCAAAACCTCTTGGGCGGGGATGGAGTTCCATTTAGAATTCATCCCATTCATTAAAAATCAGTACAAGTTAAAAAAAAAAAATCTGAACCTCATTCATTATGAACCCTGTGATATGGTGTATCGGTCCAAACTCGCTTGAGGAAACAAGTCTAGGGAGTAACAAAGCATAGCGGTGTGGAAATGAGAAAACGGGGACCCTGGTTGAGGTTCTGTCTCTAACAAGCTTGGTGACCATGGGTGGGCCCAGCCTTTCTCTGTCTTGGTGTCCTCCACACAAAATTAAGGAAAAGGAACTGGAGAGGTTATAAATTCATCTACTTGATGGCAGCACCCAGCCGCTGCAATTAAATTTCAGCTATAGAGAAACTGGGCAAGAGTAGCTCAACTAAGTCTGGGAGTTAAACTGGGATATTTATTTCCTACAGTCCAACTAGTAGTCTAATCAGTAAAGCTGTTAAACTTGCAATAATATTTCACTGATGTGTACCAGAGCGTTGCAAGTTATAAAATTTCCAATTTAATTTTACTGCATCCCTGAAGCCGTAGTAATTAGAAGACAAACTCACAGGGAAGATGTTTATAGCTTCAGGGGTGATAATTTTGAACCTGTCCTGCAGGTCACTTCTGTCCTCAAGGTTCCCTGATTTGACAGCTGCCTGTAGACTCAGGAGTTTATCGTAATATAGCAGTAACTCATCGTTCATCTGATGGGAGCAGATGTAGATGACGCTCACATTGGCATCTAAAAACGACAGACACAATGTTAATTACTGGTATAAAGGTAAATGACATTCTGAACTCTGGCATTGGATTGATGTTGCACAGTTTAAAATAAAGACCATATCCAAAGCCACACTGAAGTTAATTTAGATTGGTTTTGTTCAGATCTTCACCATTTAACTGGCTTTTTTGCATTTTAGCATTTCTCTAAAGAAAAGATAAATAACATCACCACCAAAAACAAACAAACAAAAAAATAGACACAATGATTCCTTCAGAAGGAGGGCTGTGAGGTACTATGGAAGTGTGTTTCAAATAATACATAGGGATTTAGCTCCAGAACTACCATTAACATCAATGGGAATTGCATAGTGCTTTAAAAATTTATCCCATTAACTTCAGTAAATTATAAAACAGAGCTATTAACTTTAGAAAGCTGATGAAGTTGCAATTTCTTATTCTGCCTGGACTTGGCAGGGCCAATTCAGGGAACATCCTGTCCAAATAAATGGTCTGATTATGACCATAGCAATGATTATTTCAGGAAACCAACCTTTTCCCTGCTCCATTCCCAAAGAGGAGTATATTACTTAAATAGGACATCTAGTGATTCTTGGTTTAAAGGAAACGCTGTCTTAATGTAACTGTTTTTCTTCTTGAGATGAGCTCCTTCTTATGTACATAGAAAGGAATCCTAATTAAATATCCCACCCAAATGGGAGAGTGAGATGAGATTACCCACTCCAGGCTGCCGGGTTTTAATATTTTAAGGACTTGGGACAGGGAATCAGCAGCCAGTGGAGTCATTCATTCATTCATAAAATAACAGGTTGATCAGTAGGGGCAAAGCACTTGGCTAGACACGGAGAGAAATGAGGACTCAAAGCAGCCGGGATGCTGTCCATGAGGCGCGACCATTTCACGTGCACAAGCAGCCATCAAACAAGGGAGAGAGTAGCGGACCCAGGAAGCACGTGGAACAGGTCCTTAGGGACGTTCAGGGGAGGGAGCGCTGTAAAATGTTTCTTTGGTCAGGTGGGGCTGAGAGGGGATTTGAAGACTCCTCTGTTCAGTCAGACAAGAGTATCTAGAATACAGACTGATTAAATTCCAGCTCTGTTACCTGGGAACGCTGGGCACAGTATTTAACCTTTCGAAGCATTGGTTCTTCATCTCCAAAATGGAGAAGAAAATCACCTGGGTCGTAGAGTTTTGAAGAGTATTAAAGGAAAGAACATCTATAAGGCAGCTGGCTTTATAGATGTTCAACGTCTGGCACATAGTAGGTACTCAGTAAACAGTGCAGATGTAGGGATCTGCTGCAGGGCCCACCCTGACTAGGGGAACCAGCAGTGATTCCACACCCTGCCCTCCACACTTGGGCTCCTTTTATCAGCGCCCCCAAGATTTAACATGATTTAGTAGCCTCTGTCATTTCTTCCCACTGTTTCAAATCTATCAATCTCGTGTTTCCAAACTCTATAAAGACAAGATGTATGCCCTGTCTTGTATTCCCCCAAGCCCTGGTACAGTAGGGAGTACACAGGAGCCCCTCAGGATAGGCCTGGTGGTAGACCGAAGGGGTTTGGGAGGATGGAGAGATTTGGGAAGTAGAAAATCTCACACAATCAGTGAGATCAGTGGGCTGTGGGAGAAATCCTCCCCCTTGGAGAAGCAGTGTCCTCCATCCAAACTAGCCCCGTGCTGAGCCCAGAGGAGGTGCTCCATAAAGGTAAAAATCTAAGCAGCTCCTATTTAATTTTGAAATCAACTTGCCACATACACCTCAAAATAAATTAACTGAGGAGACAGTAAATAACTTGTATTCAGTTGCTGAATGACCATATTATTTATCCCAAACCTTGTGTTTGCAGGAGGAGACTAGGGTCTTACCAAACTAAGGGAACCTCACAGCCCTCCATCTGAAGGAATCATTATGTCTGTTTTTTTAGTGGTAGTGTTATTTATCTCTACTTCAGAGAAACACTCAAGTGTGAAAAAGCCCGTTAAATGGTGAAGATCTGGACAAAACCAATCTAAATTAACCTCAGTGTAGCTTTTGGATCTGCCCTTTATTTGGTTTTAAAAACCAAACTGGGATTTTTTTAAGTATCAAAAAAAAAAGTCATAAAAACAAACAATGAAAATAAAGACTCCACAGATGAAGAAAACTGAATTTTTCTTGGGAAGCAATTTGTAGGTTACAAGTGACAACAAATCATTTTGCTAATCTCACCCTCCCTGTGCATTTCTGGCAAAGGAATACGTATCACTAACACGAATGTCCAGTATTTGCTTGTGTATTGGCAAATGTTCAAAATTAATTGACAGGTAATTTTGGAAAGCAATTAATATGAAGACAAAGATTGTTTTGATTGCTAGTCCATAGTCAATAATGGTCACTGTCTTGCTTAACTCGTCTAGGAATTGAAAATACTAGTAGCCATTGGGGTCTCCACCTGACACCCTGACTTCACCACCAATAGCCAAATGACAGGTCTTATCAACCTAATCAGATTCTCTTTGTTTCCCCTGAATAAGCAAAAAGTCAACACACTTCATTAGGAAACAATGGAATAAAAAAAGAGATGATCATTTATTCTTACATAAAATTACTAATTTTCCTAGTTTCTTCATATTCTTAAAAAGTTCACAAGCGAGTACTTTTTCTACCTTCTAACTACCGTTTCTAAACTTCCATTACTCCCCTTGAAGGGATTTTGGGATCGGATAGCTCTATCATGAAGACAGCATACCAAAAAAAGGCATTTGGTTCATGGTCTCTTAGCAATGTTTGTATTAGCAAAATTTTCCATTGCAGGTAAGACATGGACTGAATTATTGAATTATTTAAAATAGAAGCCTCATCCTTTCAAGTGTTTTCTAATAATGAGACTTGTAAAGAAATTCTTTGGTGATGGTTTGTGCTATATATAGAAGGGTATATAAAAAGCTAAAGAAAAAAATTAATTCAAATAAATTAGAGCAAAGTCTGCCCTCTGCTGCACTTCAGTGGTTTCTACCCAGTCAGGTTTTTAGTTGAAATAGCTCAGCACTAACAAATCAATCTCAAGTCATTAAAAAAAAATTTTTTTTGTAACGCTGAAAAACAGTATTAGTGCCTACATAATAGATTAAAGCAATTACACTATTATTATTTTAGGACACTGTAAATTTCTAGTACTGATGTATTTTTGTTACCAAATGGCATTTATAAAATAATAATGATGCTGAAATATATATGAATCATGTAAAAGTATGTCATTCCAGGGAGCCAGCTAAGTTGGTCATATTTGAGAATTTAAAATTCTTCCTTGTTTTGCGTAAATAAGGGCCATAGAGGTTATATTTCGGCAAAACGAAGAAGTTCTTATTTGGTAACTAATAAAAACCCAGTTTTTGTTTACCCTGAATTTCTGGCCCGTACTTTCTAGACTGATTTAGTATTAGTGCTTAGCCTTAGCGACCTTGCGTTAAGTCTAACCTGAGCCTTAGTCTTAAATAGCACCGACCAGGGCATTACTGTGTTCTTACCTGGCCCACTTGGTGTCTGATTTAGAACTGACCAAGCCAGTATCAGAGCCTGAACTTTACGAGGCTGTATCTCACATCTGAGGTCTATATTTCTAAGAATTCCCTCTACTAGGCACTTTCTGTTTTTTAATAATTAGATGATATACATTTAAATAAGAGCTTCTTTAAAAAAATTCTATCTTCGCATCCCTCTTAGTCTCATAATGAAAACAATGCTTTTCATTTCTGATACCACCTTCTACTTATTCCCCAGATAACATAATCAACAATATTGACACAGATAATAAAATATTGGCTTCCCTCACTGCCGGAGTCAGGAAATGAAGAGGATGGGAGGCCATAGGAAAGAAATCCTTAGAATTTGGAAAAAAAAAAAAAATAACCCAAATAAATTAGTTAAACATGTCATTTTTTAAAAAATTCAAGTCAATGCCACTATAAATCTGTTGTTTAAAACAAAACGTTTAATTGCCCCGGCAGTAGATTAGAAATCCACACTTCTTCCTTGCAGGGAAAAAAAAATAAGCAAAAATTCAACATTTTTATCCATATCCTCTGATAAACATTCCAGAGCGTCACTCGTGTGTAAGTATTTACTGTACCTAAGACGTCGCACAGCCTCCCCAGCTGCATATTCTGCAGCGTGTTGAAGTCATCAATATTTTGTCGCACAGGCAGAGAATATCCTAAAAGGCAAACAAGGTGTCAAAACGCAGAAAGAGCAAATCAGCATGGCAAAATGGCACACTAGGATTTCCAGGGGGTCACAGTCCGCACTTCTAGGAAAGCATTTTCTCTGAAGCATCTTGCAGATGAAGTCTAACTCCTAAGAAAGAAGTCCTTGCTTCTCAGGGGATTAAGCATCATTCTGGAAGATTTGCTAAGCAGCATATTCTGCAAAAGAAGAGCTCGTATTTTCCAATGCCAGCAAAATCACTGGGAACCAAGATTATAAAAACATGGGGACAATGTCTGACATAGAACACGAATGTTCAAAACAACATTGAAGAAAATTATGCTCGGAGTTAAACACACACACAAACACACACACACAACGGTGTTGGCTCTTTTAACTTATGCTTCCTGTGTGGCATTTTGAAGATGTGTCCCCAGAATCGTTCTAAACTGACACACAGATTTCAGAGAAACCCCTTGCTGTCAGGAATATGTATTTAAGTAATTCCAAATACTAAAGAAATACGCTTCTGCTCACATAGTCAAAAGAAATTTAACCTTTAAAAGGCAATAAAGGTTAATGCAGCTACTTTGTCGGTACTGATAGAAGTCCTGTGGTTTGTCTTCATGTCCACTGGAAACAGAGCAGAAGGAAAAACGCTTGTGCATTACTCTTGTCCAAAACTAAAAGAAACAACAGCGGCAACTCTTCCTGCTGGTATGTCAGGGGTTAAAAAAAAATAAGTGGATCAGAACATGAACTTAAAAGGCATGCATACTCACAAGCAGGTATAATTGCTTATGTGAAATTCAGCAACTGTTGGTGCAACTTTTTTTTTTTTAAGTAAAATTGCTTTTCACATTTTGAAGAGATGCTTCAATGCCTCCTGGTGGTTAGTGAGCCCAAACACATGTTTCAAGTTAAACTGCTATAGATAAAGTGATTTTCAATATTACATCTTTGAGATGTGACACAGATTTCCTTTTCAGCGTAAGGAAAACTATAGCAATTCGTGCAACAGGGCTTCAGATCAAATGCACTCTGATAATTGGCTCTTTGCTTTGATGTCAGTGTTTAAAAACTAGACGTGGTCTGGAAATTAAATGAGCTTACAATTCATCTTAAAGTCTCCCTTTTGCTTTATGCAGATGAACTTAAGACCTGCAGAGGCAGAAGGACAAATAGCTTGTTCGAGTTATTTTTGAAAAATTATCAATTTCTAAAATAGTTTAGGGAAGCGCTCCACATATGAAAGTTAGTGTAGACTGCTACAAACAATGCCATTTTTACGTGTGACCACAGAACTGGCACGCTTAGGATTCTGCATGTGTCTCATTCTATCTATACTCAAATAAATGTTTAGGAAGATGTCTTGTGAATAACTTCTATATCCAAACTATAAGAAGGCAGGAAAAATGCCTAAAGAATAAAGTATGATTAAGACAAATGCCAGAGAATGTTCTGCGGATGCATTTCCTTTCAAAAGTAAAGATAAAAGGCGGTGGGAGAGATGTCTCATTAAGATGATGTCCAATTTAAAATATAAAGGATGTCTGATCACTTTGTTGCCGCATGTTGAGTAAGTCTGTGTTTCAATCAAGTGCTGGAGGTCAGGTTTCCAACAAATTACTTGGTACCTCTGTTACCACTGATCAAGGATGCATATGAAATGTCTATGCAGAATTATGACAGAACTGGTTACTTGGTTAACCCTACAAATACACCCATTTCAAAGAACTGAATGTTAGCAATCTCAGAACACTGTTATAGAAGATCACACGAAGTAACAGATACGAAGACATTTTGTAAACTGTAAAGTGCTGTGCAAACATAAGGTATTTTAATGTTATGGGGTATATGTGCTTCCAAAGCCCCTAACAACAACAAATCCTGTGAAAAGCAACAGACCATTCTACATGGACAAGATACAATGCAGTGAATGTTGCCATCAGCAGAGCAGAAGTTGGGAGTCAATTTTTTTTTAAAGTCAGATTTATTATGTTGCGTACACCCAAAAAAGTATGTGTTGACACCCAGATGAAAAGATGCTGTATGTATGTATATAAATCCAATAGTGACTTGCACATAAGCTATCGGCAAGGATGTTGTGGCCTTGGGGAACTCAGCAGACCTGCCTAGTGGCAATGCACTATCATACTTCTGAATACAATCTGTAGAGACACGGGTACTTCAAAGGTCAGCTGGAACCATGGGGGAGCTTTGAGACACATTCTACTTCAACCTGTCACGCTGAAGATAAGAAAAACCAGAGTAAGTGCCTTGTCTCTTGTCCAAGATCACATAAGCCTACAAATTACTATACAGTTCGGATAGGACGTAGTTAGCCCTTGCATAAATGTGGTTGCATTAAAGAAGAGAGAAGAAAGCCTCGATAAATGTGAGCAGAGAATTCCAGAAGGGACGAAGAGCCTCTGCTTCCTTTCTCACTTTTATTTCCAGTTGTTGCAGCAGGCCGAATAATGGCCCTCCAAAGATGCCCATGTCCTCATCCCTGCAACCTGCAAATACCTTAGGTTACATGGCAAAGGGAAAATAAAGTTGCAAATGGAATTAAGGTTGCTAACAGGCTGACCTTAAACTAGGGGGATTATCTTGGATTATTTGGCTAGACCCAGTCTAATGACTAGTCCTTAAAAGTGGAAGAGGGAGGCAGGAGAGGAGAGAGTTAGAGAAGATGTCACCATAGAAGAAAGGCACAGAGAGATGCTTGTTGCTGGCTTTAAGGATGAGAGAGAAAGGGGGCCAACGGCTCTCTTCATTCATGCCTTTGTGGGCAGCTTCTAGAACCTGGAAGGGGTAAAGAAACGATTCTCCCCTAGAACTTCTGGAAAGGAGGGCAATCCTGCTGACCCCTTGATTTTAGCCCCTCTCAGACTTCTGAACTACAGAATTATTGCTCCAAGGTAATACATTTCTGTTGTTTAAGCCACTAAGCTTGTGGGAACTTGTTAAAGGGCGATAGAAAATACATACAATGCCTACCTTCCATCTTCTCCTTTCAACTTTTATAGAATGGGTTCTCTGATCTGGAGAACTTGTGGGAATTTAAAAAATGGTGAGTGGGACCTGTGGCTTTTTCTAGGTCCTCATCAGCCTAGAAGAAAACAGCACTGGCATAAAGGGGCACTCTTTCTTCCTTATCACTTGAGAGAGGGACCCAACCGTTTTCCTTATGGCCATCACCGTCACATGCGAAAATATTTCTCCTTTGATAGAGTGTTCTGTCGTTTCTTAAAATGTTATCATCTGTGCTTCACATTAAAGGAAGGATGCCTGAGAGATGCCTCTGTGAAGTGATCCAACTACCTTTGGTGTTCGGCCAAACCAAGGATATTCACCAGTGGTTACTGGTTATCATTCCTCCACCTTCGTCTCTGCATTTGTCTCCTCTCTCAGCCCTACCTCCACTCCCATGCAAACTCCTATCAGACGATGCTAATTGCCTCTTTGCCCCCAGGAAACTAGCTCTGCTGGGATTGGCTTTTCCTTCCAGAAACCCCAGAAACCCACGAGCAAGGCCATGCTCAGCGACTGTGCCTCCTTGGGGCTGGTATGTGACACGCCCCTGCTGTTGTGTTAAAGCACATATTCTGGAACAGACTGCTCATCACCCTGTGCTTATTTCTAGTTCCTTTTGTCCCCTAGTCCTATTGCTTACAGGGTACCTGAGGCAGAGAAGAGGTTAACAGTGGACTTCTGGTTACCAAGTAGTTGTCATTTCTCTGATCACCTGGCCTAAGATGGTCAACCAGGCCTCAGTAGTTCTCAACCTTTTCCCCATTTTGAAACACGTGCTGTGTGATAGTCACATGCATCACACACTCCTTAGGGGCTGACACCGGGTGACAATAGCAGTAGCTGTCAGTCACTCCTTCCCTTTCTCTTCCATTCACAAAAGCATACTGGACGGATACAAGCTGAGCCAAGTGACATTGTTATAGAGGCGATCTTGAATTACTCCAATTCATAAACAAGTTAATGTTAGCCAACTTTGGTACTCTAATCATAAAAATTTTTCAGGGAGCGTGTGACATGTGTCACTACTGATTGCCTGTCAGCATACTGCAGTCATCAGATAAATGTGATCGAGGCATTATGATTATACCCAGGCTTTAATTACTTGTACAACGGCGAAAGCACAAGCTACTGAGATAAAATATTAAGATACAGTACGAGAGACACCTATCTGAGTTCTTTATGTGTGTAGGTAGTATACCCAGTGCCGGTCTGATGAAGATAAAACTGAGCATTGTTTGGGGGAGGGGATCTGCAGATGGGGATTAGGGAATTTTGTGATGTGGATGCAGAAAACACAGGAGGTGCTTAAGTGTTTGTCGACTGTTGAAAACATTCCCAAACTAAACTGGCCAAATGGATTCTGTGTGGTTCTGCAAAGAGTGAAGACTTGGGGTGCCTGGGTGGTCAGTCAGTTAAGCGCCCAGCTCTTGGTGTCACCTCCGGTCGTGGTCTCAGGGTTGTGAGATCGAGCTCTGCTTTGGGCCCTACACTCACTCCTTGGGGAGACTGCTTGGGATTTTCTCCCTCCCTGCACTCACACACACTCTAATAAATAAATCTTAAAAAGAGAGGGAGGGAAGAGAGAGAATTTTGTTGGGGCTTTTCTCTTGTTGGAACTTTTGTTGGAACTCTTTATCAGTGGCGTTATCAGCAGGTGGCCCAGCATTATGTGCAGCTCAGGCCAGTGATTCCCAAAGCATGGTCTAGAGACCGGGAAAGGTCCTGAGACCCTTTCAGGGAGTCTGGGAGGTCAAAACTATTTTCAAAATAATATTAAGATGATAGTTGACTTTTTCATAAAGTGCAAAAAAAAATATTGATAGGATTGCAAATTCCACATTGTAGCTAACATAGGAATTCCCATCCACGTTGAGTTTTGGTATAAAACCAAAGAAGAATATACACAATTGTCTGAAAAGGCTATAAAATGTATGAAACAGTCTTCCCTTTTCCAAATATTATCTGTGAAGG